TATCGGTCAAAGTGAAGGATTTACAAAAGTGAAAGAAAAGAAATTGAAGAAATTTGATACCTGCGAACAGCCAGAGAATTCTGAGATGAAGCATGATGCCCTGCTGAAATCTCAAGATGCTTTGGAAGTTCAGAAATTTGTGCGAATAAATGAGGATGCAGACCATAGCAAGGAAATTATTGATCTAGAATGTCGTCTTCAGAAAGATTCAAGGTAAATGTTGCACTAGTTTCTCTACATTAAAGTTCATGATTGCTCAAGTAGAGTTGATAGCCTAAAATTAACTAGTTAAGGACACGAATAAGTCTGCTTTCAGAGCATAGGAAGTTCCTATTCTAAATGAGTATCCCTTACTAAAAACTAAGCAATATTGTGCGAAATCCATTGATAACTTCTAGAGTTATTTTGATTGATTGTGAAGTTTTCTAGAGTCTCTGTTCATTTTTTATCAATCTAGAATGCCTTTTAGGTGTTGGCCTGGATTCTGGTTGTGTGGTAATTGTTTGTAGTTGCTTGATTTGAAAGTTTCCAACCAAGTTTGAGTTTCCCTAACTACTTGATCAGGGCAGCTAGAACCTAGCTATGTTTGTATAGTTTAAGGGCCTCTCTTCACTAGGCAAAGAAAAAAGCCAAAATTGTTTTATAGCACTAATTCTGCATTCAAGTTTCTCGCTGTAGGAAAATTTCCCACTCCATTGTCACTGTCATCATGATATTTGGTATTTGTCCCCTACATTGATACAGTCATTATAAAGGAAGGTTTAATGGGTTTCTTTCCGAAGGCCTTTGTGTTTTAACAAATCTCAACCCATGAGCTTCATGATCACAAATTATATGGCTCATGTTGAACTCAGCCTGAGCTCTATATGTGTGTTGAGGCCTAAGAAGCACGGACACGGATACGGATACGGGGATACGATACGACACGACACGGAGATACGACAAATTTTCAAAAATGAGGATACGATACGTCGTGGATACGGTAATTTAAAAAATATATAATAATTTAAAAATAACAATATAATTTAAAACATATTTTAAATAACATAAAAATGATAATATTATTACTTTTAACATACTTCCACTTGTCTTGGTTATAATATTTTATTACTTTTAATAAGACAAACAAAACAAAATCCTTTTGTCAAAACGATAAGACCAGCCATCACGTGGGGTGTGGGTGAAACTGTGAGATTATTAAACAAACAAAATCCTTTGACCCAAAAAAAAAACAAACAAAATCCTTTTGTCAAAAGGATAAGACCAGCTATCAGAACAGAGAAGCACGCGTGAGAAAACAAAATGAAAATGGAGAAGAGAACCCGACGCCGCCAACAATGAAGGATGAAGAAGAAGAAATTGATGAGTAGGGGCACCGCTGGATGAAGAAGAAGAAGGAAGATCTGGGCTTCTTATTTATATCGAAGAAGAAGGAAGATCTGAAAGAAGAAGAAGTGGAGACGTTTTCTGATACACGTATCCTAAACAATGGATACTCGTATCTGTAATGTCAGATACTCGTATCTTTTTGTCGTTGACCGTATCCGTTTAGTCGGATACGTATCCATTGCGTATCCGCACGTATCCACAGCGTATCGTATCCCTCAGCGTATCGGATACGGGATACGCGCCTCAACCAGCGTATCCGTGCTTCATAGGTTGAGGCTAAAGCTTGGCCTGGATTCTTCTTAGTCAAGTGGATTTGGAAGGTACAGTTTAATGTCTTCTTAGGGTGAAACATTTCCTATACAATTAACCTTGTCCATTTCTGGGCGGAAACAGAACCATGGAAGTCATATATTCATGTCTTCTTTGTGGCATCCATAATAGTGAGTTAGATGTGGATAATGATCTAGATGTGGATGTGGACAACTTGTATATAGTTGATGCTAGATAATTAGATATGTTATGATATATCTTCCCGCTGACAAAGAAATTATTAAACAGTTTAATCTCTCACATAATAAAAGCCATTTCTTTTCAGGTACCCAAAGCCATCTCTGTTTACGGCATTCTCTGATGCAGATCCTGACATTTCCATTGTCCAGGAAACCCCTAATATGGATGGTATCATTTCCACATACAGTCCAGGGTACTTCAATAAAGATGAGAATTCTGGTTCAACTTCAAGCACAATTGAGGCCTCTTCTGACTTTACAGATCATTTGTCATTTCAGTCAGCATCCTTAACCAATAGTAGCAAAGCTTCTCCAAAAGCCCAGTGTGGCTTTGCAGCTACTCCTGAAAAGAATGTGAATTTGAGCATACAGAGCTCGATGCTAGAAATAGACTCATCTTTGAGTTTGAGTGTAAATTCTCATACCCAAAAAAGGAGAAAGTCCATGTATTCACCACTGGCTAACTTTGTTTATGGACAGTGTGATGCTCCTGATTCCAGAAGTCCTGATTCTACTAGTTCTGTAAGATCAATGGCAACTGTAGACACAAATCGCCAAATTGAATTTAGTGTTGAGAATAATTGTTCAGGACACAAGTCCAATGTTCCTCGTGTGCTCACAACTAGTAATTTGGTTGCTTCATCCATGTCCGTTGGTTGTGTAATGGACAAAAGACTACAAATTTCTTGCTTACTCTGCAAAACTCCATTGGGCCTTCCTGAGAATCATCTATATCTATCATGCTCAATAACTTCGTCATTGAAATTTCACTTAGAATCTCTTCATAAAGAAGTATTGAAGTCTCACACTGGGAACACATCCACAGGCATGCCTGTTATCATAACTGACATTTCATCAGTTGATCAGCGACTCTGCAACAGAACTTCTGAAGGTGCTCCTCGGCAGGGTATATGGTGTGAAGAAGATGGTTGTGTTTTCAGTACCATCTTCTGCCCCTTCTGCATTAGCCACAGTAATTGCCTTGGAGTACAGGTCATGGCGGCTAATGCATCAAATGTTCATTTACTGAACAAGGTAGGTTCTTTTTAAATTTTACAGGTCACTGGATTGCATGCTGCTACACTACAAAAAGTGTTTTCCCATTGTGCCTGAATCTTGCAGTCTTTTTTATAGAAGTTATTGTTGAGTATCACATTTCAATGTAAATAGGATTTCCACTGTGCTCACATCTTTGCAATCTGTTAGTATTAAAGCGGTATATGGTTATTATTAATAGCCGGGATTATTTGGTGTCTTTTTTTCTCCCCTGACTTATTGTTTTGTTGGTTTTCTAATCGAACTGCAGATGCTGTTTTACTTAGATCAGTTGCATATTCAAAATCTTGAAGCATCTAGTGACAAGGCTTCAGAAGAGAAAGTAAGTTTAAAAATGGTCTTACAATATAATGGGTCATGTTAGTATGGTAGATTTGGTAATAATGCTGAAATGAAGAAGTAATAATTTGAATCAACTGACAAGGGCAAGGGAGACGCAGGACGCATGCAGTCTCCTTTATGCAGTTACGTTTCAAATGTCCAAGATCGTCTAATTAGCACTCCTCGTATGTTGGTTTGTAGGATATCTTGCCTGTTGTTGATCCAAGCTTGGATAGAGCTTCTATTCTAAATTCCTTTGATAAATTCTCATACTCCCCAATCAAGCAGAACACGGGAGGCTGGAGGACTACAAAATCAAAGGTCAGCAAATAAGGAACATTTTCCAATCTGATGATTTGATGCATTCTTTCAGGCCAGATGTGATGATTAATTTTTCTAATGGTGGCAGCTTAAACTACCCAAAAGACGCTTACTTCATGAAGCAGAGGGTTAATGACAGAAATTGTCTTCGTATCTGATTTTGTTGCACATATCACCCAGGAGATGCCAATGTAGATGTGCTGCCTCACATGATTTACAGTGTGAATATGAAGCTGAGACAAGGTGTTGTTTGTTTATTACTCAGGCAACATTCAATCAAAAGAAGAAAAAAAAGAAAAAAAAAGAGAACAACTAGTGAGGCAATATAGGTTCTTGTAAATAAACTGTATTTCTTTAAACTATTGTATACTGCATTAACTATATAGTTTTGTTATGACTAAACTGGCAGCAGTTGATTTTGTATTACGCTGCTCGATTTTGCGTTTATGAAAGTGAAACTGCTGACAAGTTTCTGTAGCTGCATTTTTCTGTAGTCAAAGAAAGGAGCTAGTTTTC